CCAGTCTTTGTTGCGGCTGTTTGCGCACCAAGTGTCATTCTTGAACCTTCACTTTGCGACTGTGGTCTGAACAATGACGTGGAGCTGAGGGAAGCCAGCACGTGGTGGGACACATGCAATTACACGGATACGGAGTTTCTACATGGTAGAGGCATATTTGGCGACACCATGATGGCTACCTAATCTGGTATATGCACGTATCCATACATGATTGGAAATCGCTGCTGTGTAGTTTATGGATATCCATGAGCGTCTTGCGATTCTCACATGAATTAGGAAATTCTTTCATGTTGGATGTCAAGATCATTGGGGAACCCATCAACGTTGTGGTCTTTCGGATAACAGAGCACCGACTCAAGCAGTGGATGCATCTGAGTCTTGGCCATGGCGCAATGACCTCTGTTTACCAGCCGCATATTATTCAGGGTCGACGAGGCCGGAGGCCGGCTTCTGCGGCTCCCGAGTACAGCGACCAATTCAGGACTTCTCGTGTGGCTGAGATACCTGTCATCATCAAGGGATTACGGAGTACTGCGAGGCTTGAACATGTTGTCAGTGAGTCATCACGGGTTCTTCGCTGGCAATTCTTAAGAGGCTGTGATTCCTTCTCTAAGAACAACCGTCTGGCGTTCAGTCCGTGTAATCGGCGACTGGCTCGACGAGGCAGGCGAAATCGCATATAGATTGCGTCAATGGCTTGCCAGGCGTGTTCCTTCGCGAACAGATCCAGATGATGACAGTTTTTCAACGCCGTCGAAGAAAGTCTCCCCAAGGATGGCAGTGTTGTTAGTCGCTGCGCTGGGCGAAGGCAAACACATAGACTCCCGTGATCTGCGCATTTCCGGCAACTCGGGCACCGCAGGCAGACGGCGCTAACATCCGGCGGCGAAGAAGGTCAATGCGGACCCGTGAGAGAGACAGAGACAGGAGGAATGGCTGACACTCGACAGCCGTGACAGGTGTCTAAACGACAGTCTTGCAGCCACAAGAGGATTGTAATTCATAGGCTGACGATTTCGAGCTGAAGAGTGAGATTGACCGCCAAACCGAGCGGTGTGTTGGTGTAGCTTACCGCTGCAGAGGCGAAGAAGATGGGACTTTGCATGGTGGGGGTGAGAAGTCGATGGGTCTCGATGGGAAACACGGAGCCGCCTGGGGTTCCTGCAGTAGATGTATCCGCAGAGAGCAGGGGAGTTCGACTGCGAATAGCCTCAGCTGTTGTGTAAGAGAGCAGGCGAGCTGACCCGTGTAGGAATGTGGCAGGGCGCCGAGTGATTGTATCCGTAAAGAACCCGAGGATGATTCTTGGCTGTCATCCGGGACTTTGTGTTTCTCATGCTGTCGCCATGCCAACTGGGGCAAAGGGCTAGAAGCCGTACTTCGTACGGACTTTTGGTGCGCCGTAACAACGCATCACCAAGACTCGACACGAGCGAATGAACAAAATCAAGGAACCAACGCGATGTGCCGGACCCCGGCTTCGGGTCTCATCTCCAATGCAGGAACCGCCGAGCTGCCGTCTCGAGTCGAGTCGTGTGCCTGTTGGATTGGGTATGGCGAGGGGCAAGCTTTAGGCAAGCGAAGGACAAACAGGGAAAGCCGCGAGATACAAGAGGAAGCGCGAGCGTTAGAACAGCCCACTTAAGGAAGTTTCGACAAGGGGTCTTTGAAGAGTGCTCTGGACTTTTGGAGTATGCGTGTTGCTCTGCTTGGAGCTCAGCTAAGCAGCTAAGATCATAACTGGATAAGGTAAAAGAGAAGCTGAGAATTGGTAGGACCTGACGAGGCTAAGGTAGACAGACACGCGCAGAGGTTTGGGCTAAAGATGCGGCCTTAGATTTGACGGGGGACACGGGACGGGGGACCCCTGAAAAGACGTCACCCAGCCACCGGGCTTTTTTCGAACCTCTCAGGCCTGTTTCCCGCGCTGGTGGGACCCGTTCTTTTCCCACTAAAGCCACTAAAAGCCACAGAATACGCAGCGAAGGGGCCTCCCCCAGACAACTCTAGCGGGTACGTACCGGACCTCTTAAAGGTGTGGCCCCACTCTTCCGCCCTGCTCGCCCAGGAACCGCTGCGACGCTGCGAATCGCCCGGACAACGGCCGCAGTACCAAGAGTAAATAGAGGAGGTTGGCGTAGCTACGTAGCTTCCTTCTAACGTACGGATGCTCTTCCTAGTGACCTAGACACCAAGCATCGCAACCGCCGCACAGCCTTTTTGACCAAAAAGTGGATGGCAGGACCAATTGCGCATCCTCGTCGACGTCTCTTTTTCCCAAACTTGTCACTGCTCCTCTTCTCCAGTCTCCAGAACATCCATCCATACATCCATCGACCTTTTTCTTCCCTCCCAGCCATCTGAATATTTCATTCTGCAGACGTACAAACCTCTCCCGCTCGCCCCGAACCTGCGGGCTTCCCGCTTTCAATTCTGCTTCTTGGATCATCGTCAGGCAGAGAGACAAAACTAAGTTCACCCTTCCAACCCTCCTCTCCCAGCCATCTCAATATCCGCACCTGCATCTGCATCAAACCACTTCTTTCCCCCCCCTTCGAAGACCCGACCCGCACTTTCACTTTGACACCTTCACACACTCTCTCACTTTTGCATTCTACTCAAGCATCAAAAGTGGAAGTCTGTTTTTGCGTCTGACAGTAATCGGAAAGGCTTCACTCTAATCGCAGGTTCCGACACCGTCCCGCATTCCTCGCGGTGTTCTCCAGCAACCCACTACCCACGATTCTTCAACCAGAACCAAGCAACCTTATCGTCTACATTCCATCGACCCACGAGTTTCCCTCGCTCCGCATTCCCTTCCCGCTCGCGCGATCACCTCCCGCCGACGATAGGGAAAGACACCAAGCGTGCCAGCGCTGAGGTGCCAGGACTAGAACCCCTCCGTCGCTCCGCTACAACGGAGGACGGCGTGGGTCACCAACAAGAGAGCCATTCCTCTCGAGGACTGGAGTAATATTACACAGTCAAAATGCCGAAATTCCAAGTAGGCTGGTATCGTGAGTTATCCCAGCTTATCTCCCTGCAAAGCTCAAAGAACAGAGCCCCGGCTAACATTGCGCCATCACAGGGTTCGTGCCATTCCTAGGATACCACCATGTCTTGATGATCTTGATTGCAGTCGCCATCATCCTTTTATGTGAGTTTCTCAGACCTGCCATACGACCTCATGAACCACATCCTAACGTCCTTCGTAGCTCTACTTTTGGCAGGCTGCTCGTCATCATCACCTCTGATCCCCGACATCTTCCTCTTGTCGCTGTACTATGACCATTATACGGCAGTTCCTTCTACGGCCCAAGTTGATTACAACGTCCACACCGCTATTGAGAACATTGCTGGTGATGCCCGCCTTGCCTGCCGTGTTGGATACTTTGGTATCTGCATCAGCCCGGATGGAGGCAGTTGGCTTTGCAGCAACAATGCCACCGCTCTCGCCAACGAGGTGTCGGTCGATCAGGACCCTCTGAACCTGATTTGGCTTGCCGCTCAGTTCAAGGATATGATTGTCTTCCCCTATCTCATGTAAGTTGACCCACCCGACCTTTCAGCACAGAGTAGATACTGATAGTTTCTCAGCATCATTGCCATCATCTTCGCCTTCGTCTGCTTCCTTCTGCTCGCCACCTTCCCGGGTTGGCACGAGGAGGAGGACTCCGAGGGTTCCGACCGCGAGGTCAAGCCCTTCCCCTCGCGTCCCGTTTCCCAGATTTCGCTGGCCATCATCTTCATCGCCTCCATCTTCGTGCTGGTCTCTGTGCTATGGCAGCACACCGCATCCGTCGCCGCGTCGATCATCGCCCAAGACTTCGGTAACGGCGCTGTCCGCTCTGGTGTCGGTACTTCCGCCATGGTCCTCGGTTGGTTCAGCTTCACCTTGCTCATCATCGTCACCATCGGCTTGTTGGTCATGATTCTCAGCATTCGCGTTCTGAGCCAGATGGTTGATTAAGGGGCCGACGACGGAGAAGATTGAATGAGACGAAAGATTTGACGACGATACATGTGTGAAGAAGACGGACACAGAGTCCCAAGCAAGAGTCGAAGGGGAAAACTTGTACATGGAGGGCTTCTCGAGGAGGGGACATTTGAACCCCTGCCGCCATCAGCACATTCATCGTCCAGCACAAAAAAACCATCAGCATCTGGGACATCGGCGTTGTATATCGAGTTTTGCGTTTTTGATTTTCCTCTCTTTCTGGCTTTCATCCTTGGCCGGCATGGGGCGGCAAGACATTTCGAAGTCTTGCCACAAAGAACCCCTCGTCATTTTTAATGTTGGTTTGCTCACGCGAGCAAAGACGAATATAGATGAGCTCCTTCTCTTCTCTAAGAGCAGCGGATGACGCAGCATGCTCGCAATGGAGACGAAACAACACCGAGCAATACGAAAGGAGGGAAATGGGGGAAACGAAGTCGGACGCATAGGAAATGGGAAATGTGTAGGAGTATGTCATCCGCTGTAGATGACGATGAGCAAAGGCGTCCTCGAAGAGACGACACAGATGAGACGAGATGGAAATGAAATTGAACATGACAAACAAACCACAAAGCGTACTACTTACGTCCATGTCAATGAAGTGACATGGCAATTGACTCATGTGGCCCTTGCATCGTGTTTGAGAGACCCTGTGACGAGGATAGGAGGGAGGGGCTGTGTAGTGGGAAATACAATCTCGTTGAGTAGCGTCAACGATTTTTTTCTTCATCAGAGTAGGGTAAGTTTAGGTAGATAGAGCAAGGCAGGCTTGGCCACTTTCATCGCTCATCATTATGCTGCAGACTAGCATTTGGCTAGCAGACCTTTTTTTAACTTTATACAATGAACAATCCTTAGCCCCAGCAAATCGTGCCACGCAAATCAACACAAGCACGCCGCAACGCCATGGTAGCCACCACCCGTGATATCTTATGCCAAAAAGTCATGCTCTCTGCACCTTGCCCTCGTACACACACACTCGAATTCACACCTTCATCCCGCCTCAAACAGGACGCTTGAACGGATGCGCCTCGGTGTTGAGGACCCAGTCGTCTAAGCTGACGACATCGGGAGTTGAGAACAAGAGGTAAAAGTACTTCAGCGTCTCGGCGATCCAGAAGCTCTCCATCTCGTCTACAGGTTGAGGATCTTCAGACAGGACGTCGTCGATGGCGCTGTTGCCGTGCTCGGTACGAGTCGCCTTGATGATGGCCTCCCACATTTTCCATCCCTTCTCTTGCCATACAGGGTCTCCAGTGATGCGATACATGTACCACACGGACTCGATAGCCTCTGGACTGTAGGAGTGTTAGCCATGCTCAAATCTTGAACGAGGATCAGTGATAGCTTACCGAAGAATGTAGCGCCTGGCGTTGATGTTGACGAAGCCAGGCGGGATCTTCTCGAGCTCTAACTTGTCTTTGACCCACTCCTCATGCGAGAGCGGCTTCGGATCGGGAACCTCTCCCTCCTCCTCGAACGCGATCTTGCCCACGATGCCACCGCTGACGGGTGCATCGTTGGGGACACTGCCGGTGATATCGTCGGTGGCACTTCCAGGGTTGTTCAGGTCGAGCTTGTCCTTTAGAGTGTTGCTGGCGGCCTCCTGAGCAGTGCCCTTACGAGGGTCTTGAGACACTGGCGGAGCAGGATCTCTCTTCTTCAAAAGGTGCTCATCAACGTTGGAAGGGGACTTGTTCAGGCCAGGCTCAGGCGCCGGGTACTCGGTTTTCTCAGCTGAGCCTAGCTTCTTCGGCTCATCCTTGGGAACGTGAATATCGTCGAGGGGGTCCTTCTTTTCGACGGGTGACTCGGACTGGACTGTCTCTTCGGTTGACTTCTCAACAGGCTTGTTGCCTCGTTCAGTGGTTTGCTTACGGAGGGCGTCCTGCTGCTTTTGCTGCTTCTTCTCACGTTGCCTATCCTCCCACGCCTTGACCTGTGCCTCACGCCAGTCAGCTGACGGGTCGAGGTGCTCCCACCAAAGAGTCTCGTTCCACGGGCAGCTCTTGGTAGACGCGCAGGGCACGACAGAGGCTCCTTCAGGCATGATACCGGAGGGCATAGTCTCGTACGCCCAGACGCATCCGTCAGTGAGCTTCTTGGCGATCTCAATATCATCGGGTCTGTCAAAAATCTTGCCTCCCAGACCAAACATGCCACCAATGAAGCAGGTGAGGTGAGTAACTTCATACTCAGTTCGCAGATCGTTTTCGGGGTCGCCAGATGTCGAAACCTTGGCCGAGAAGAGGATATCCCTTTCTTTGGGAACCATAGGCCTGTAGAGAAGCCACTTCTTCACAGCCTCGACCGTCTTGATGTGCATCGTCTTGTACTTTTGCTCCAGACCGCCAAGGACGAGATATTCCTACGCGAGTTAGTTTCTTTTTCAGTACAACTCCTCAAGGTGAACTAACCTTGGGGAAATACTCGTAGGTGGAATCTTGGCTACCACCCATGCTATACTGCTGGTATCCCCAACCACCAGGGGCAAGCCCTTGCTTGATGCATTCCCATGAAGATTTGTCAGGTGTCGTAGGAGTAGATGGCCTCCGACCACTGTTACCGGGGTACAAGGGCTGTTCGTTGACCTTGGGTGCCGGGAAAGCCTGCTTGTTATCGATGTTTGCATTCTCAACCACAGACTCGCCATTCTTGTCGACACCAACAGCCCGCCTCGCGAGTGGGTTGCGTTCCGGCTCACTGCCGTTGCCCTTGGCCACAGCAGTTTCCTGCGGCAAAATCGGATCAGTTTCGTCGCGCTTGGCCTCAGCAGCCGCAGGCTCGTGGCCCTGGGGCTCGCTCAACCGAGCAGCGGCCGCACTCGCACTAGCAGCCGCAGCTTGTTCCTCTTGGTAAATAATGGCTTCAGCGGTCCTGTTGCAGCCAGAGGCGTCCAGCTGTTCAGGGAAGATGCCATCAATAGTAGTGCCACGGTTCTGGAGGTCCTCGAAAGCGTCGGTAATTCTAGCGATGGCATCGTAGTACTTGTCTTTACCGGTCAATTGGGCAAGGCGTGTGAACTCCATGCTTAGCGAACCCAGTTCGGCCACGCCAACGGTCGTAGCTCGGTGTGGCTGGGAAGCATACTCGGGCATCCAGTTGTAGTACAAGATAGGCATGCGATTGGGGGTGTCGAAAATGCCCATCAAGATTTCGGCGAGTTCAACGGCCTTGTCCAGCAGGACAGTGTAGCCGCCCTCTTTACCGCCGCTCACATCGTAAGCAGCGAGGAGGCCGCCCAAGTATCTGATAGTGGTCTCGAAGATCGGGATGTCACGGCGCGTCGGGCTGTAGGTGAAGTCGATCTCCTTGACGGCCTTGACGGCCTCGGCAAACTCTTCCTTCATGCCCATAATCCAGAGCGTATCAAGACCGTCTACGAGAGTAGCAGCCCAGCCACAAAAGGGGTCGCGGTTACGACCGCTGACAGGCGAAAGTTCGTCGTGCATCCAAGCGTACTTACGGTATCCGCCCCAGGACCGTAGCATTTCAGCCTTGATCAGGGCTAGGCGCCTTTCGCGCTTGTCCTTGGCAGCCTCGGACTCTGGCTTGAAGTCGTATTGGATCTTGGGAATGTCCTTGGGCTTGCCGGTGGGGAGGGGAATAATCTCGTCCGTTGGAACGGGGAAGTGCTCGGAGACCTTGTGCCAGTGGATCTGTGATGTCGAGGTCGACAGGCTCTCGGCGATATCAAAGTTGGGTCGGCCGGGAGGCTTCTTGGCATGGAGGTCCTCTTCCAACTCTAGAGGCTTTGTGGGCGCCTTGGTGACCTCGGGCGACTTGGTGGCCTCTACCTCGTCATTGTAGGCGTGGATGGAAAGGGTAGGGCCAGAGAGAGTGTTGGTGGGCGCCTTGGCCTTCTCCGTCTTGAGCTGAGGAATCTTGACAGTGGGCTTGGCCGTCTGCTTCTGAGGGTTCTGCTCAGGCTCGTCTTCCTCTTGGTCGTGGGGATGTTCGCTATCGGGGGGCGGCTGGTTGTTGAGGTGCTTGTTGGAAGCGGGATCGTTGGCCGGGGGTGGCTTCGAGGAATCCTTATGGACGTTTTGGCCCTTTTCGGGTTCGCTGGGCTTGATGCTGCTGGATTGACCTGTGGAATCCCATTCAGGATTTTTGAAGACCTGATACAGCATAAAGACCATCACAACAGCGACAAGAATCACATAACGGCTCCGTCGGCGGGGCATCATGTTTGCGGGCTCGCCGGAGCGAGGCTCTCGTCGCGCGGTGGAGGAGAAGTTGTATTGCTGTCGCGTGCTACTCTGCAGGTAGCGCTAGACAGTCGAGTCGAAGGATGGAGGACCCTGGGGTCCAAAAAATTCGAGAAGCAGCAAGGATGATGCGTATGCTAATTCGATGTCATTTCTCGGTTTCCGTCGTTGTCGTTGTCGGAAGGAAAAGCTAAAGGTAAGGCCAGAGCCAGAGCCAGAGCCACGAAGGAAGCTGGGACGACAGGCAAGGGGGACAAGGAGCGGAGGAACGAATGAGAAAGGAAGGGAAGGATAAAAGGCCACGGATTGGAACTCGGGCGCAGATGAGGTAAGGTTGGAAGGCACGAAGGCACTTTGTAAGGCACGTAAGACGGCAGGAGAAGAAGAAAAGTGAAGGTACGTAGAGAATGGATTGAAAAGGCAAGGAAGGTGAGGTAGGGCGAAGTAAGGCAGGTGGCATGTACAGATTGGCGTTAAGGGGGGTGGGACGTGGCAGTAAGGTAGGAAGCAGCAGCACACACCGGGGAGCTTGGCCCAGGTCCAAAAAAATCCAGTACCTCGGAGGGGAGGAACTTGTGCTTGGGAAGGAAACACCCCGGATCTCTTAGGTAAGACGGGAAAGATGATCCACGAGGCCACCGGTCACTAATTACCTACCTAGGTAGGTAGGTAGGTACTCTGATATACCTTAGGTACGGAGTACTTCGTACTTGCCTATGTAAGGAACGAAAATTCCATTGTCTAGCTGTCCATCTGCCACCTCAATTACACATCACCAGAAACATCAGTACTCGTATAAATGCTCTCGACTCAATACTCACCCATTGTGCCGTTCTGCAGGATCCCTGAACGGTGGACCTACACACCCTGCACAGAAGGTGCCCTGTCACCTCTGTGTCCAAGACGCAAGATCTGAGGTTTCCCTGTGTCGGATTGATCAACGAAATGGTTGGTCCAGGGGTTTAACACGCTCTTCGGTTGTGTTTCGAGGTCCACATGCTAACACTTGCCATTCATCTGCTAGTAAATCCTTGGTAAAGGTACCATGATCGCTATCGGACCCGGCTTCTCCTTAACGATGGATAGCCGTCGCGTAATCCAAGATTACCATACCCCATGTCTAAAGATGGCCTCTCGCGTTCTATCAAAAACGTTTCAACCCCAACTCAGCGGTACTGGCTAACCGTACCATTGCCACGTTACACATACTTCCTACTGTACAGGTAGCTCATCGGTCGACAGTTACAACCTCAACAGCATTCCACAAGGTGTCTCGAGCTTACCCGCCCCCTCATCCTCCGTACCGTACCACCAAGAAAATGCGTTGTACCAGTCTCTTCATGCCCCGGACCGGACACTAACTGGCACTGAACCCCCAACCTAACGCCCGGCTCACCTGAGATAAAGAGAAGCTCCCAGCGCAATTGGCTCCCGAGGCGGGTCGCACCTTAACTCTTGGAAGAGCATTCTTGCTGCACCAAATCCAGGGGCCGGGGACCGACGCAACCTAACAGCGGGGCGGGAACGGATCCAGATGGACCAGATGGACCTTATTTTCCCAGGGGAATGGTGGTTCGCTGCTCGCCTGCTGGCTTGCTCCAATGTCGTATCCGGAAAAGGGTCGTCCGCTCCATTCACGATCTTCCATCATTTCCCGTTCCCTGAGAGGAGGACAAACTCTGGCTAAAAAAACAAGACGAGGCAACACACGACCAGAAAGAGGAGCCCACATCGTCTTAGATCGTAAGGTGGCATCGAACAATTCCCAACTCGAGTATAGTGTCTTTGGCGATGCAGCTATTCCCGAAACCGTCGCCTCGACTCTCGAATCCAGTCACCCGACTTGAGCCAAGCCGGATCTTGGTTGCGCCTCTGCCTTTTGACCCGTCTATTGTCTTGGCAGAAGACACCCACCTCGACTCCGCTGAACCTGCCTGAGTGGCCCCTTGGCAATAAAACATCCAAAGACAACGATCTCAAGGGCGAGGGAGTGTTTATCAGCCACGCAGCATACGGCAATTTCCCGACCTTCTGCTGTTTGAAAGGATCTATCCGTATGAAGGCCTCTTCTCTCTGGCCCTTTCATTCTGACATCTGTTGTTCTGACATCACAAGTAACAATCGTCCATCCTCTCAGTGTTGGCTCCTACGAAATGACCACCAATTCAAGACTCCTGAGAACCCACACGGGTCCGCGGATGAGAAACACAATCTTGAAGCCGAAACACTCCGAGCTCTAGATGACTTCAGTAGAGCTCCATCTTGGATACCATAGAGATAAGGCCACAGTAAATAGGTCGTCACGGTTTGTGGCGTGGCTGTCTACTGGCACGCTGGCCGCCGACAGAACATGGCATTCATCAGAAAAGGTTGGTGGGTGTCTCAAGCTGAGGGCAACTTTTGACGGACTTATGCAAGGGGTTGCCTGCCTCTGCTAGGTCCTGTACATGACGATGCTTAGAGTTCAACATTTCGTATCGGTCAATTTTGCAATCGGCCGAATGGACACTGGCCTGACTATGTTCCTCATTTTGATCTCCCTTTGAAAAAGCCACTGGACCTGTAAAAACTACATCAAATGTCTCTTAGCCGCACCATTACTGGCACCGTGCCTGTCAGCACAGACTTAATGGTCTCTCTTGACGCCAGTGGATCCACCGGCTCCGTCGTTGGGATTCTCCTCTCGGGCGCGGCGGCAATGTCGGAAACGGCGGCCAAGCCGGCGCCCGGCTATGGCACCCGGGGCGGATCACGACTTCAAGTTGGAACCTATCGACCGGCCGGCGAGTAAGTAGAATGATCAGCAACAAGAGTCCGAATCTTATAACAAGGTTTCGCAACCGTGATATGGCGTGGGAGCTGTTCGATATCCCCACCTATGGGGTCTACAACAACTGAGGGAAGGGGAGAAAGCAAAATAAAAAATAAAAAACAACAATGAGACGACCGATCGAGGAATCGAACTTGGATCCCGAAATAAGCAGGAGTCTTCACTGCCTAACCGGGGCCTCTGCAGTCCGATTAACCCCTCGACCATACGGCCCAGATGCTTGTTGTTAGAATGGTGACGATGATTCATTGGCTAAGTAGTGAGCCTCGCGGTCTATCCTGCTCGTATTCTCGGGTACCTTCTTCACAGTCAAGCAGTTCATCCTTCAGGCGTCCTGACAAGAAGTGGCCCGCCTTGATTGTCCGCAATAGGCTAAAGTGAGCATCACTGCAAGGTTGACAGAGGCCGTGATTGCGTACAACATCGTCTCTACTGAGTGACCCTTGCAGCGCCATTTGCGACTTTATGAGAAACCTTGCTCTACCAACTACCTTACCATTTACGCAGCCCGATAGGGCCCGTACAGCTCCAATGCTTGAACGCAAGCTTGTTATTCTCCACCTCGTCAACGATGGCAACCGCCATATCCTCATTATAGATTCCATTCTCCGCTGCCTCTGCCGCCGGGTTCTCGGGCGTGTCGATGAAGATCTTGTACTCTCCAGTCCGCACACCTATAAATTGTCCTTAGAGTCAACTGCTCGAGTCTGCCAGTCTTGAAATCGGAAGACAAACAGTTGAGGAGAAGAGACTGACCTTTGTCACGCAAGAGACCTGGAGGTGAGAGGAAGGTCCACGACTTCTCAGTGACGCCGTTCCACATCGTGAAGGCCACCCGACACATGGTGATTAGAGCGATGGTCTTCCTGTCCGTCATGCAGCGTTTGAGCCAGCGTTGGACTAGATACGTGACCGGTCTCAGAAGCCAGGAGTAGGCTGAGAAGAGAAAAAACTGTTTTTAGCAACAAGACGCTGCGTATTCTCTTCCAGCCGCGGCGAACCAACCAAGAGTGAGAGAGACTTACACCTCGGTCGCTGGATGTGACTTCTGCTCCACTTCATTAAGACGGCAACTAAGCTTATGAACCGGCTTCCGTGATCCAGGCCTCGCGCGGTCATATAGTCGAGGTGCTCGTCGGGCCATGCCCACCTAGTCAACCAGCGCTATTAGTTCTAAGTTCTCTTCCATGTGTGAGCTGAGGGGGTTCGCATACCACCAGCTATACGCAAAGTCCTTCTGATCTGTAAGTTGAAGACGGTTTGCGACGTGAATAGATCCCGCTCCACCTAGTATCCTCAAAACTTCAGCAACAAACCCCTCCCATACATACTGAATCCCGTCACCGGCCTTGAAATCACATACCAACAATAATAAAAGGGCCCTCGTGCGTCGAAGCCAACAGTGCAGTCTTTATCCTCCCATGCGCCTCGACGCCGTCCTCGTATACGGTATCCAGGTTCGCCAAGCTGGGCCCATAGGCGCACACGATGGCGTCAAAGTCTGACGAGAAGATGTCGATGACTTTCTTCTGCTCGGTGTAGATGTCGACAGAGGTCGAGGTGTATGATCCGTCGCCGGTGCCGTGGTTCCATTGCTTTGGGGGGTTGCGGGAGACGCCGACGACGGCGTGGCCTCGCGTGAGGAGCTCGTCGACAACGCAGCTTCCTGCTTGACCTTTGGGGCCTATCACTGCGACACGGAGTTTTTTGGAGCGCATTATTCCGAGTGAGAGGGCTACTGGTAGGATGAAGGTGGCGAGGAGCGGAAGGTTTGCAGGCAATCTTGAGAAATTTATACAATCCTAAGGTAGTATGCATATTTGTGGCCGTAAAGGAGTCGAGCGTTGGTGTAAGCATCGTGCCTCGGCGGGTTGACGCCCCTCCGTCAAGCGACCACCACTAGATCGTAAATCCGTAATACCGTTATAGAAAACCGATTCAAACCTCTCAGATGGTGTCGCATATTGCTGAGGGTCGAGTACGAGCCACTCATAAGATACCTCACTCGGACCGGGCCAAGAGTCCGAGTGGCCGGCGTCGGGGGCTACCCCACCCCCGCAAACGGGCTGAGAGGCATGTCCGAGCCGCGAAGTGACGAGGACAACTGCCGTTCACTAATGCCGGGTTGTATGTGTATTCTCCTCCATGTTCATGTAAGTTGAGCCGCCTGAGATTGAAACAACCTGGCGACGAACACTGCTCAGATATAGTTAGATCTCTATGCTTGATATATGTAGATTGCTGGGGTTGTATGACGGTATATCCGCCTGAAAGCTAATGGTGATTTCTTCAGCCTCGGACGAATGACTGCAGTTAGTGCCTACTTTCACAGATAGGCGAGTTCAGATCAAGGCATCCGTCGTCATCATTGATCCCTCCCAGGTGGATCGTCCGGATACTTGAAGGAATATACAGTATACGTACGCGGGAACTTGTAATAGCAGCCAAAGGTACAAACCCCCCGTCAATTCCATTCCCGTCACCAGCCAGCAGGCGCCCGTCTAGGTCGACGGGTCAGGCCAAACTGGCTGGGTGGTGGAGTGGTCTAAGGTCAACAATCAACACGCCAACCAGCCTACTCGACGACAGGCTTAGCGAGTACCCGAATTCGAATCCCAGTATGAGAATCAAGAGATTTAGCCTACCGAGGTGAACTCTTTTTTTGATTATCTTGAAGGATTTCTATGTGGTCCTTCAGATGCTTTTTGGCTGTTGGATTAAGGATACCTTCACTTCAACATTCTCACAATCGAGATCCGATCAATCAGATCCTGACTCATGATTAAACCATTCTTCTGTCGCGCTAAGCGCAACAGTCTACCACTTGCGAAGCTGAAGCTGCTCCTCTCACTTCTGCCTCATAGTAGCCAACGCATACGCCCCGGCAGGCCCCCGGATCTGGAAGGGCCTATCCGCGGCCATGCACTGGCCCTTGACCAAGTCCCACACCGATCCCGGAAGCCTCTCAGTGTCCGAATGGTGATTGATGAGAACCTTGAGGACGAAGTCGCCAAAGCCATCCTCGGCGAGGCCCCGATAGTCCGGATTCGTGGAGAGATTAGCGAAGCCTTCGTCATCTGCGGTGCGGATCGTACTGATTCCTGTCTCAAAGGCATCGGCTTCGAAGACGACTGCCTTGACGCCTAGATCAACGGCTTCTTTCTGCAAGCTCTCGTCTAAGACTACGTGTACAGTCATTTTGTGGTCAGTCTGCCGGAGCCTTGGTGCGAACCGCTCGCCGAAACCGAAAGCGGCATTTGTGGGACCAGAAACATCGGTTCCGGGCCGACGACGCAGGGACCGGAGCAACAACGGGCTTTTTCGGAGAGAGGGAAGTTCGCCATGCAAGCCCATCAAGAAGACACATCATTGTAAGCTCTGTAGACATGCTACTACTGAACATACCGGTTGCCATTATTCAATATTCAACAATCAATTGTGGCAATCTTTGATAGCCTGAAATTCATAACCATTTTGAGAATTCTAAAATAAATGAAGGCGGGCCACACCACCAAAATCGCAATCCTATCGAACTCTATACGAATCTAACAAGAAAGCCTATTTGCGAGACAGGCCGGTCGGCGGGATAACCTGCAAATGGAAGGGAAGTCCGATCAAAGAGGGTGAGACTGTTGTGCCGGTGCTGATGAGACTAGTGGCAGTAGACGATAACAAGCTGTCTGCACTGCCAGTCGAAGGGAGAGTGAAGGTTCGAGTGGTGGAGATCGTAGTGTTGGAGAAAGGTGGATCACTTGCGGTGATAACTGTGGTAGACGAAGAGAGCCCGTCCCTCGATGTATCCGACAAAGTGGTGGCTGTTGCGCTACTGCTCGTCGTACCACTAATTGTTGTCCTATAGGAAGAACTGGCTGTAGTACTCGTAGTCGAGGCTGGGCTGGTAGGAGTTGGTTCACTTGTCGTCGAGGGCGTGCTGGTCGAAGCCAGGCTAGAAGCGGACGTTTTCGTCGGACTATTGTCGGCACTGGTGAGATTAACGGAGGGTGTTGTAATGCTGCTTCCTGATGAAAAGGAAGTTGTACCCAGCGTACTGTAGGTATCACTAGAAATTGTAGAGGATGATGGTGTAGAGAAGTTTGAAGACAATGTCGAAGAAGGAGAATTCGAGAACAACAATGAGGTAGAAGATAGGGTGGAAGTTGACGTCAACGAAGAAGAATCTAAGGGTAACGCTGTTGTAGAAGAGAGGGTTGAAGGTAACGCCGATGAAGTTGTATCTGAGAATGAAGACGTGGAAGAGGAGGTTACAGATGATGTCGAGGAAGGAGAGTCCGAGGATGATGATGAAGTGGAGGAGAAAGTTGAAGAGGTTGATGTGGGGGAAGTTGAAGGGCTGATAGACGTGGAAGTCGTGCCAGATGTCGTTTGAAAGGTTGTTGTCACAACCGGGGATGATGCAGAAGTAATCGTGGAGGTTGGCGACGCACTCGACGAGGTGCTACTCGCTGTTGTTGCCGTGGACACTGTTGAAATGGCATAGACAATATATACTGGAACCCCATTGTCATAGCCACCACACGGGAGACTGATAGGGGGAAGCCCAGAAATAATCGGCGGTAGTACTTCGCTACATGAGATGGTGCAAAGTTGTTCGTCTGGGGGAGGATCGGCGGCAAACTCGATGCTGGTTATACCGTCCTTGGAGCAGTAGCACTTCCCATCGAGTAGTAGTGACGCAGCACGCGAGTTAGCGATGCATGTATTCTGGCATTCTGTAGGGCCGTTGCTCGTCGGATTGTCATACTGAAGGTCTAAAATGTTGGCCGCGTCGGTGACCGCACCGCAGCCTTGATAGGAGTAAGGCTGTTTGGAGGCAAGGGCACCCATTGTTGCAGGTATCGGCCTCAACACTTGAAGGAAACGACATTAGAACATGATTTTCGATGCGAGAGACAGAAGGTCTGGATTTTGAAGACTTGCGACCGTCTGAAATAGCAAGGCGTCTTTGCGATGGCAGTTAGGGGGAAACAGGGAGGTTATTGGAATTGACTACCACGCCACATCATTTTCTATAGGAACGTTGTGCAACGCCGAGGAAATTGATACGGCAGAAGACGAGATAGGCTACTTGAAACGTGATTCTGAATCGAAGACATGTAAGTCTCTGATTTACTTATTGCCTGATCCTGTCGAGAATGCCAACTCGAGCTGTGGTGTCACCAGCACGATGATCGTGTCTTGTACCCATGTTCGGATACCAATTGCCGAGATAGTCTGTCCTCAATGACTGCCGGCGTGCCTATTCACGGGGCCGTCTTTGAGGGAAAGCACAGAGGGATGGTGAATTTCGTCGTTGATTATTTAAAATAAATACTCTAAGAGAAATTCGAGCTACTTTATTCCCTCAGCCGATCGGTTACCCTGCTAGCGTCTATCAACGCCCACCTCATTATCACCATGTCCGTTCGAAAGGTTGGCTATGAACCCTCCATGACTGTCAACCGCTAAAAATGAGAATGCCAGGTCCATCCCATAGAACCTCAGAATTAACCACACATAGGAGGAAACATCCAGATGCATGGCGGATTGCGTCTCCGGCGCCTAGTGATCAATCAGACAGTCAAACGATGAGTAATGTATCCCGGGCTAACTTCCCTACTCTCTATTATCACATGTCTTCGTTTTCATGGCCTGTACCATAATTCTGGAAATAAAAAGACCTCATGCTCCTATTTGCGTCTCTAACCCCCCGATCCTTTGGAGTAGCCGTTTGTTAAATCGATGGCTGGGGCCCAGTCCATGCCCACCAACAGTCTGAATGTTTGCCTCAAGCTCTCGGCACAGCTCCAATGCCTCTGTCAGGTTTCCCTTGCGCTCGAGGAGTTGCACAAGCTCCCAGACGTGCCATATCCTGTCCGGATGCTCACCATCCATATCGCCGGCATCGGCGTCTTTATCTTTGTCACAAGCCTTGCGCAGGTAATCTTCCGCCTCATCCAAGCGGCCCTGTTGTAGATGTACGTAAGCTAAAGTACCTACCTTGTAGCTTGTCAGCATATGGGCTTCAGGTGCCGGACTTAGGATGCGGGCACGTGGTACAGCTCAATGGTGGCTGCGGGCTTCTTTTTCTCTCACTTGACCACGCCCATTGAGTGACACGATGCAGAAGGTACCATCGGATCTTTTATAGAGAATAAGAGTCGAGTGAGTAATCAGCATAGAATAGCACGAATAGGTATTTGATGATAGCCACCATGACTGGGCACGAGGACATTCCCCGCTGAAGTATAGAGGCGCAACATCGCTCTACAACCACATGTTATTCAAGCAAAACCTTGGTTCCTTCCGCGCTAGTCAAAACGATGCCCAGGTTCTGCTTCTCCCCTCCAACAGGCTCATTGGGTACACCGGGGGGAACTCGAATATTAGGAAATCTTTGCAGGATCTTCACGATCGCATAGCTCGACTCCATTATTGCATAGTCCTCTGTCAAAGAAGTCAATATTACTCGGATGATTTGGGAAAAACGATATTAGTACGGAAGCAATCGCACTTACTGCCGAGACATACGCGTGGTCCACCATGAAAATCTAAGAAGCCACCGAGCCCAGCTTTGCGGATCAAGTCACCGTCTTCCCACCGACTCGGTCGGTATACGCAAGCATCAGGACCATATATAGCTTCGTTTCGATGCAGATGATATGCAGACCACCCGAGGCCGACGCCTTTGCGGAGTAAGACGGGTGATTCGCCATCTGGCCCACCGCCGCGGGGCAAGATGGTAGTACGGATTGCGAAGCGGACATTGACAGGAAGTTGCGGGTACAGACGAAGTGCTAGTCAAACTTGAGTCAATAAAATTATCGAGGCAAGTAAAATAGACTCTTCATGACGTACTCTCATTGAGGCAACACCTCAGGAATGGAAGTTGTTGAATATGTTTCCGCGTAAGAATGCCACTGTTGGGAGTTGCTGCGCTAGCCATCTCGGATCTCAGACGGTCAATTAACTCGGGATTGCGGATGAGGTGGAAACTGTTTCTTGTTCAGCATGCAAGCCAAAAGTTGCATAAAACATGAGTGTGCAAACTGACAATGTCCAGCTGAGAAGACAGGCCGTAGTGTCTCTACCGGCTATAAGAACGTGCAACAACTGATCCCGAACAATGTTTCGATCGTGCGTATCACGCCAGAGGTCTACAATGAAAGAGTATTTAACCATGGCAGCTTCTTCGCCGTATTCCTCCATGAAGTCCAGTGCTTTATCGGAGAAGAAGGTGGCCCAGTCCCGAACGCCCTTGCAAGCGTCTCGGAATTTCTTTGGCGTGTAGAGCCAGGAAAGATCGGCTAGACGAAGTCTTATAGCTGAAATCAACGTCGCATAGTCGGAATTGTCGCGGAGAGCAAGCCTTTCATGTTCGGGGAGGCTGTGATGTGGCTCACCGAAAAGAAGATGCGTAGTGGTACCCAATGTGTACTCAAAAAAGTGAGGCTGCATATCCACAACAGTAGACGTCTGTGACTCGTGCTCAAGAGCGCGGACAAGTATGTCTGTATGCTCTTCAAATGCCGTGAGCTCGGAGTCTCTGATGCGTGAAAATTGACGACGTAATAGCTCCCGAGAGTGGCGCCAAGCTGGCCCGTCTTGCGTGAAGATACCTTCACCTAGCAGGGGCATGAGCCCTATCCGGCGGGAACCTAAGCCAAAATCCTCGAAACGAGTGCTCAAGATTGCTTCGATGTTAACAGGATCGGTTATGATATAGCCTTCTCCGAGAATATCAATCCTCAGAGTCGGAGCAATCTTCATATACCGTGTCTGGAACTCAAGCAAACGGCCGCTAGGCAACGCATCGTACTGGCGCTTGAGAAGGTCAAGCGCAAAAGGCCATCTATATGGTAGAGTTGCCTGTACCGGCTTGCAACCGTGTTGAGCTGCGATAGCTTCCTCTTCCAGCTTAACTTTTCGATATTGCAAATACCATCTGACGCAGTATGCCAGTATTCCTGCGAGAAAAAAGCTGCGCAGAAGGAGAAATGGCCAACCGCTGTGTGCAGTAGGGCTTATAAGAGGTGTGGACAGCATCCTCGTGGAGGTATGGTCAAGGTAATACCCGCAATAGAACACAAGATTGAAGGTTGATAGTCAAGAAGGTGACAGTAATAGCAGACACAAAATCGTAGAAGTAGGCCGAGGGTGATGTAAAGCCTTGGATTTCACGTTCGTGCTAGAGCTACATCACGAATGTTTTGGTGTGAGGATGTTGGCTTCCGGCTGACCAGCTTTACCGGCTTTGGAAAAAAACATCGGGATACATGCTATTCTTGGTCAATTGCATGCTTTGTTGGTTCTGGGATACGTATGCCAGGCACCCAGCCTTGGTATGATATAATGATGATAATCGCAGCCACCCGATTCGATGCCTGATTCCTCTACAGCACTCCAACAGTAGCCGGGCAGATTCTTGTCGTTACACAAGCGAAACCAATCCAATCAATTTTTTCCAGATCCGGAATAACGATGTGTTTGCAGCACCCAAGTTTGCGGCAGGCTGGTACGGCTGGTTGGCGCTAATATCCTTTATCACACCAATGAATTTGCCAAACATCACAAGCCGGCCGGTGATCCAGTTGGTTAAGGTAGACTCGGCTTGGCTTTTTTTTGGGCCCATTTGATAGCCCGGGTTTGCACCCTCTGCTTCCCTGGCTCAAACTTGTCGGTCTTTCACAGGAGCCGAGTTCATTACATCGAGACGTCCCCTGGAGATTATGGTTTGCCTTCAGCCTCCGATCTCATCACCTACATTGGTGTCCCGCTGACAGTTATTGGATTGCTTCCAATCATTTACAATGTTGTTGCCACTCTGATCCATCTGCACAAGATCAAGCGGGTGCTACGCCGCAACGGAATTCCTCCACCACTCCGCTCAGGTATCTTCAACCGCATTGTTGAAGTGGAGTTTCCCAGGTACCGTATTCAATCACCGCAGAGACAAGCCAGTGATGATACCACAGAACATCAACCGATTGTTTCGAATGACGATATTCCTCTAAGGAATCTAAGCTCAACGACATCGACATTGAGAGAAGAATACCTTCCACCGCTACAAGGCGGTGATATCCCCGGAGGTAGTTGGTCATTCTTGAAATGGAAAGGGCACCAACTTGGGACCAGAACCCAAAGAACGCAACCTGGAGACAACCTCCGACAACCACGGGCTCAAATACGTTTCTGGGATCTGATCCTTCGACTTTACCTGTCGGCTTGTGTGACAGTCGATACAACGGGGTGGTGTGAGCTCCAAGAAAGGCCCCTTTGGGTGAGAGGTCGTCACTTGATGACTCTGAGTGACACTCCGCAGGAGTCGACTTTGATACTTCAGGTGGCCTCCTACCATGACTCTGAAAGCTCAATTTCCCTTGAGTTCGTTCGGTCAGGTTTGAGGAGCGACTGGCCGTCTTTCCTCAGAGACGGACCAGTGAGATTCACTACGCATGGATCTATCACTCTCCCGTGTCACCACCACCGGGATCACAAACACCGGGAGCCAGCGAATGAAGTAAAGAGTGATTCCGGTTCAATAATTTGCGATGTGACAAATAATGGGTTGGTAGTTGCATACCCAAGCTCCAGGAAATGTGACTCGTTCAACATCGAACATCTGCGAACCGATAATGATCTCAGTCACCATGGGATTTGGTTCGCCAGTTGCGCAATGGCACTGTACGCGCAAATTTCAACCCCAATTTTGCATTACAGAGTTCCAGCCGATATATGCCGACTGACAAAGCCAGATTCCATCCCGGAAGGCGTTATCAGGTTACTGAATGGCGAGGGAGTCGAAGAAATATCGCCCATATTTACCCGCAAATACCTCAAATCGGAGG